TGTTTACTATGAATACTTATTTCTACGTAAGTCATTAAAGATGAAACTTTAGCAAAATCCACGACAGAAATTCATCGCTGCTTGCAAACACGAAAAAATGAGATGCATTCAAAGATATCCGTGTACTCCAAAGGGTTACCAAACTAGGAGATGAAATAAGCTGAACCAGTGACCGTAATATTGACAATATTACCTGATAAAAACTTATAAGAAGTCAGAAAAAATTATCGCTCCAATTGAAATACTGAAATCCTTCACGTTCTTCAATTGCAACACAATTTTTACACCCCTCTTTCTAAGGCTATAACTTCCTTCATATTCGAGCTTCTGCGCCGAAGTGATTTGATTTGGAAAATTCAAATTATTCTCTCTCCAACCATGGGTAAAAATTCTTCGGAAGTTAATTTAGTAAAAATTTTGTACGTTGTTACTTTTTTCTGTGCAAAGGCGACTTTTTGACCTTCAAACGATCATAACTTCCTTCAAAGTCATTCATTTGGGAAGCTGAACACGGTATAATAAACCACAGGTTTCAAGCTTTCTAACGAGCACCCAAGCGTTTCTGAAAGATCAGCAGTTCAAAAATTAGCCCGTTGTTACTTTTTATTTTGAGGGGTATTCTTCAAGCCATTTTCTCGAAAACGCGAGTTTTCTTAGGTTTCACTGCCCGTAACTTCTTGGAAGACCAATTTTATGTTTAATTTAGGATGTGCTAGAAAGCTCCGAGCATGCGCTTGCACTACATCCCTTGCCTTGGTGCGCGCCACGCCTCGGGCGCCCTTCTAATTCGCTGATTCATTTGAAAGCTCATTTAGAGGGAATCGTGGTTTATAGATGCTGTATCAGTCATCTTACGAAAACGTAACGTGCTGGCTATTATCCGATATTACCAAGAATCCCACTGTCGGCCACCGAGAGGGTACGACCCCCCTCCCTCCAAGCTCAACTGAGTACGACCCCCCCGTTGTTACTCGTAACAACGTAGGGTTGACCCTGCTCCCTTCAACTCAATCTAATTCGAAATTACCTCGGTACCTTAATCTGCAGATAAGCACACGCCGCTATCTCTATTTTCATCACAGAACCCTCACAGGGTATATGGTTTGTCGGTATGATCACCGTTAGCTATAGGCCTTGCTATCCTGATGGACACATTATTGACCTCGTGAATTGGCTCCATATCATACGGGGCGTAGCTGGAAGGAATAGGATCTTTCCATTCTATGGCAGTGCCGTATATTTCTCGCAATAATGAAATCATTTTTATGAGCAGTGGTCCCATAAGTCCGATAGGATCGTACGTTGAATTCAACTGGCTAACAATATCGTCGTTTCGTTAGGCGATCCTTTTGCGGTATTCGAGTACTCAATTGAAACTCGTCTGTTTCTGTGTTGTACTGTACTCCTAAGAGTTTTATTTCTGTTCCTTCTAGACGATCTTGTTCTGGGATAGCAGCATTTACTTCGCTTGAATTTGATATGTATTCACGCAAGTTCATGCCTATCTCCGCAAAGATCGCTTTGGAATCCTTGTATTTTTGGAGTGCTTCTTCCACTGTGTTCGCACGAAGTAGGATATTATCCACATACAAATGTTCCATGATTTCTTTTGCTATATCTGTGTTTTTATGGTTCAGATATGCTTAGATCACCATGTTAAGAAGGCTGGGTGATGCCGTTAAGCCAAAGGGAAGACGTGTGAAGCGGTACTCCTCAACATTATCACGTGTTGGTGGCTTGCTTGCGTCTTTTGAACCATAAGAATCTGCAAAGATCTTTGTGTTCGTCTTGCAGTCTTATTTGAGTGAATGCTGCTTGAATATCGCACAGCAGTATTATTTTTCCTGTTCGGCTTGCTGTTAGGATGTCGTGGATTTTGTTCACGAATGATTCTCCGGTATAAATGACGTCATTCAGTGAAAGCTGACCGCATCGCTCAGAAGATGCATCAAATACTACTCGAAGCGGTTTTAGCTTAGTGGGGCGCCATACCCCTGAGTGTGGCATGTAGTAACGGCTGATGCTGTCAGTACTCTGCTCATTTGCGTACTCAACTACACTAGTGCTTATGTAGTCTTGAAAGGTTTGCGTGTACCATTTCAGTTGTTCTTTGTTGGCTTGCAGATGTTTCCACAGTGAAATGAGTCTGCGAAAGGCAACTGAATAGTTATCAGCGAGATCGGTGACGTTGTCTTTTAGCGGTAGTGGCGCAGTCACAAAGCCCTTGTCGAACTGTATTCTTTTGGAGTACATTTGGTAATATGAGAATGTGTGTTCTTCTCTTACCAACTCGTCGGGTGAGATTCCTAGACCTTGCAACTCGAAGAGTTTGTTGAGCAACTCGGCTTCGGTGGGCTCGTTGATAGCGGTGAGTTGTTGCACCACAGGATAGCCCTCTTGGCTTTTAGATAAGATACGGTGGCAGTCAGTCGTCTGTGTTTGCCAACGGTTCTGTTGATACGATATGACGCCCTTGGATGACATTGTTGCTGTTCTCCGGTTCCGTAGATGAGATACCACGACCGTGAATGCTGGGGCCGAAGATTGTTTTTGCAATATGCAAACCAGAAGGCAACTGTATGAGGTTGCTGTTAGGAGGAACAACTTGGTAGTAGTAATCTAATCCGATCAGTATATGCGGATGATGTTCTCCTCGAACGCGCGGGTTACATATGCAGAGTTCGTTCAGTTGTAGGAAGTTTTTGTCTTCATTTGATAAGTTTACCGATGAGAACCCATTTGTAATGATAGGTTTTGTTTGGGGTTTAAGGTCGATTTGCATGCCATAAGCGGTGAGCGAGACCACACTCTTTGGAATTTTTCTGTGTGCCCACCAATTCCAGACATGGCACAAATTTCGGTTGATTCTTTGGGTAGCGCGAGGTCCTGCGCTGTTTGTTCCCTGATTAGAGTCTTTTGAGCTCCTGTATCAAAGAAAAATAGTATTTTCTCGAATTTTTGTGTCCTATAATTCCAAACACTACCTTCCGCTGTCATCAAAACGATTTGCTCTTTGCTTTTAGTGGTAACATTATTCGTGCTGTCGGAACTGACACATGCGTTATTGGCCGTTGCTCTATTTTGCCAGGGTCTGCTGTTTCGAGCATCATTTGTGCCGTTATTAGTCCACGGTTGTCCTTCCAGCCTGCTGTGATAGGGGGGTTTGTTCTGCACCATTGGCTCTGGGCTGGAAGCCAGCTCTTGGTCCCTGAGAGGTGTAAGGGCCGTTCCCTTTTTGTGCGGGACCGTTGTTGAAACATACGCTGATGTCGTGCATTTGTTTGCAACGCGGACAATTTTGCTTGGAGCATTCGCTGCTCTTATGGTTGGCAGCAAAGCATTTCCAGCAACGTTGCTCTCTTTTCAGAATCTCTCTTCTTTCAGTGGTTCCTACCACACTTTTACAGGCGTTCGAAAGCGTGGTTTGTTCTTTTGGAAAATGCGCACACTTTGGATTCCTTATCTGATTGTTCTGTGTAGGATTCCCCTTTTACCGGTTGTGTTCTGAAATTACGTAGTCTTGACTCTACGTATCGTTTTGCTTCTATTTCTTTTTCCAGTTCGTCCATTAAGTCATCAATTTTGACTTCTTCCCCTGTTTTGGGTTACAATTAGGACATTCTTCTCTGTGCTATAGGGAAACTTTTCGAGTATTTTCTCAGTCCACAAAGCATCTTGTGCAGAGCGAATGTCTTGACCCGCTGACACCATTTGATTAATCAGCATTCTGATTTTGTCAAAGGCATTATTGCAAGCGTCTGCGTTATTTGCCGCTGGACGCATATCAATTAACTTTCCACTACCGTTCCCTACTGTTTAGGGCTGTTCCAACACTTTTTATCTTCTAAACGCTTCGGTCATCCAAGAATGTAATTTTTGGGATTAGTTGTTACATACTTTCACAGCAATTTCGGCTTTACCGCGAAGACTGTGTTTGAGGAGCAGCATTTTTTCGACAGTGCTCAACGCTCTGTTCTTGTGTACGAGAGTTTGGAATACAGCCCAAAATTCCGGGAACTCTTCGTCGTCTCCGTGGAATTTCGGCATTTGCAATTTGTTGGTTTTAGAGTGTGCGACAGGTCACCTCTTCTTTACTTGTCGGAGTTACTGTCACTGCAACCTTCCACCACACGAATGGAGTCATTTTCGGAGAGTGCACCCTGTTTCGGGATCTCCTGAGGGCTTCTTCTCAAAGCTATGCTATTCTTTTTGGTTTCGGACGCGCTAAGGTTATTTTACTTCTATGCGGGTTGACACCTAGCGTATGAGCTAGTTTATGCAGTTTTCTTCTGTTCTCTGTTAGACGTGCTTCCAATACGTAGCCATTTCATTGGCACGGGTTATCTTTTCTTGTAAACTGACACTCTGAGTCTACAGCTTCTATGCTCGCTAAGAGGTCTTTTTTGCTAAGCCTTTTGGTTTTGCGTCGTCGAATTCTTTTTCTAATTTGTCGACCAGAGATTGCAGTGAATCTCTTCTGGATTTCATTATCTTAATTCCACCAGCGATTAGATTTACTGCGGCTGAATACTCTTCGTATTGCGCACGATCGTCGCCTGCAGGATTCATTTCTTCTGTGATATCACTTGTATTTCTTCTGGAAGAAGTATGAGTATTTTGCGGGCTGAATTTTCGATGGTTCTTGTGGAAAAATCAGCTGCCCATGTTTAGAATTCTCTAAATTCGATTGCTCTATTTTTGCTCCAATGCGTTCCTGATCTCACGGTATTTGCCGAGCACAGTGATAAAGTCTGTACTTAATAGCTGAATGAATTGGTTCCTGTTTCAACGGTGATCTGCCTGAATGAACGGGAGAAGTTAACTGGCCTGTTTTAGCCCGATTCCCTGCCAAAATGTCTCGTTTGTTGGGAATACTGTATAGGTCAGTGGTGTTAATATTTATTGCGCGATTCATCAAACGTAACTCAGATCGTTAATTAGCGCCCCGTATCATTGCGCATCGGGTTCATAATAGGTTTTTTTCTCCCAATGATACGGAACACGTATAACAGAACATCTAAAGGTTTATTGTTATCTGGAGGTCGCGCGGGTCGAGGCTCATTACTCTGTTTTCCTTCACATTGTTGCGAAACAGATGTATTGTTACCCTCAGTTGGGATCTTAAGCTTGCGCTGTATCCTAATTGAGTTCTATTTGTGTCTCGCCGATCTGACATTCAATGTTACAGATAAACGGTTCAGCGTCTTTCAGCAATTTTGAGTGCTGCGCTTCTTTATCTAGTTCCTCTACCTCAGCAAATACTTCTTTTTGCTCTGTCCTTGATTTAATGGACAGGCAAAATTCTTCTAAAAGGTCGACTTTGCTTTGGAGCATATCTCTTGCGCTTTTTATTTGCGCTAAGCAGATGTTTAGTCGCGCTAGATTTGCTGTGCATGATTCAAACCGTTCGGAATCGTCATCTGGGTAGGTGACTTTTTGGCCGTATCCCTCATACTTTTTCAGTTTTTCTGAAACGGAGGCGGCAGTTGCTAATTATGGCCTTTTTTAGGAATGGGAAAGACATTTTGATTTACTTCGCTTTTTGAAGGAAGAATTTGTAAAATTATAAGGTTTTATTAAAGAGATTATGAGTCCTACACAAGGTTTAAAAGTGATTATTTTGGGTCTATAATGAAAGTGGAATCAATTCCTAGATATTTGAAGGAAAATCAAAGTAATACGAACAGTGCTAATGCTTTATCGGTACCTTCACTAGTTCGTTTCCCGGCTCGTTGCACCAGAAATGTGTAGGACTCCTTGTATCATCGATGTGGTTCGGGGGAATACAGTGATAGAATGTTTATTGTGTAGGGCTATGGATCTGGCGTCCTCTCAGTATCAACGAAGGCCGCCTGTGGTAAACATTCGAGGTGGCATTCAATGTGCTCAATGGAGTTGTGAGGTGTTCAGGCGGCCAGTGCAGCAAGCCCCCCAACTAGGGGAGGGATCCCCAACCTTGGGGATGTATCCCCAACCTTGGGGACATATCCCCAACGTTGGGGACATATCCCCAACCTTGGGGACCCCTCCCCTCACCCAACTAGGGGAGGGATCCCCAACCTTGGGGATATATCCCCAACCTTGGGGATACATCCCCAACCTTGGGGACATATCCCCATCCTCGACATTCTACGAATCGTTCAAGGGTTTCGTCGCAGGACCCAGGGCTTCCGCATCTCGAAGGCTCACGGACCATTAATGTTTCGTAGCACTATGGCAGTTTCGAAATACAATGGCACGGCACACATAGGAACCGTTACTATCTCTTCACTTCGTGGCTCTTACGAAATACAGTGGCAAATGGTCTTGGAGGCTGAGCGCCTCTTTCACATCGTTAACCATTTTTCTTCAATTGCCTTTCCCTCTTTTTTTGATTCTGTGGTTTCTTCTGGCTCAGTGTGGCCCCGTGAATGGTGTCAGATTCACGGAAACGCTCAGTTTTGGGGCTGACCCTTAGAGGAGAAGAGATAATCCGAAGTGTCTAAGCAGTCTTCCTTCTCAAGCTCTGCCTTCTCCCTTCTCACGTTGAACAAACTGCATCGTGATGCCCCCCTAACTAGAATATACCCCGCCAATTTTCGCCGAACTTCTAAAATTCCTTTTTTTAGCGCAACGAGCGGTGGATCCCGCGCCACGCCCTCCTCTCGCAGAGGCACATTGAGCCTTTCCTAGGCACTGTTCACACATTGCGCCATAGCCAAAAAACTCTCGAAACGAACGAATCTGCGCAAATGCGTAAAGAATCAAATGCGTAGCGATCCACAAAATGGGAAGAGCGTCAAATCGCGCATGGGCCGATGTCAGACTTTGCGATTGGAGCGATTTTGCACCAATTGCAGGAGCGACGGATCGCTTGAGCGATGCGCTGCGAGCGACGGGAGATTTACACCGCCGACCAACGATAATTCGGCGCCATCAGCTTCGTAAATCTCCCGTCGCTCGCACTGCAAGCGACGCGTCGATTTACACCGCCGAACACCGATACACACGGCACCGCTCGGGTAAGAAAGATCTCTGCCGTGGCTCTCAACTTTTGGAGCGCGTGTCGGCCGTGATGTGCCTCCTTGGTCGTTGTGGCAGGGAGCTGCGAGCGACGGGAGATTTACGAACTGATGGCGCCGAATTATCGGTGGTCGGCGGTGTAAATCTCCCGTCGCTCCTGCAATTGGTGCAAAATCGCTCCAATCGCAAAGTCTGACATCGGCATTCGACTGCTAATCCTCCTAAAGAAGTGAGTGTCTATCGGTCGAGCCAATCGGAGATCGTCAGCCATCGACAACGCGAAACGGCGGTGCAAAAATCCTCCAGCAACGCTAATACGGCGTGCTCTACAATGTCGACACGCATCTAATCCTTTTCGCATTTGCATTCGCGCGTGCGCAGATTCTTAAGGTTGATATGTATCTGATTCTTTTCGCAAATTTGAATATTCGATGATTTTAAAACTGTGCACAGTGCCTCAGAAAACAGCGAATGAACAAAGGCAAGGTAATGACGAAAAAAGAAAAGCGAATAACGAAGTGAAACAAAGGGTGAAAGAACCCGAAACAGCCTTCAATTCTCCGCGTCGCCAAGTGAGGGGACGAATCCCTAGTCTCGACTAGGGGGATATATCCCCTGCCTGCAGAGACGCAGAGGGTCGACGGCAGTGACCGTCCCGCACGGTTGCGTCATAGGAGCCACCGAAAAACGATGGGTCTTGCGACGAAGTAGGGGATATATCCCCAAGGTTGGGGATATATCCCCAAGGTTGGGGATATATCCCCAAGGTTGGGGATATATCCCCTAGTTGGGTGAGGGGACATATCCCCAACCTTGGGGATCCCTCCCCTAGTTGGGGCTTGCTGCACCCGGCCCCGGATGAGTGCGTAGGTGAGATTGGGTGGGAAGGTTCTGGTGGCATGCCAGAACATCGCCGACATGAAAGTTTCGTGGTTTGAACACCTAAACTACCTCACGACACGACACGGCTAAAGACTGCAAAATTCGCACGTTCTCCAATGGATACTTCATATATATTTCAAGTGAGTCCACCAATATGAAAGAATTCGGAACACACGGCGCGTCCCGGAGTAAGCCTAGTCAGTTGCGCGCGCTTCGACTACAGCTCTGAAGACAAAACGATTCAAGAAGAATCAAGAGGATTCTGAAAGGGGCCGTGTAAAATGACAAGGACGAGTCCGCTATTCGAGAAGAAATGCAGTTAATCATATTTCAAATCTCTAAACATATAATCATGAATTTGGAATTTGCTAAATGCTTCTACACGTACTGGAAATGGAAAAGCTTTTGGTTCCGAATCCGTTTGTTTTTGTACAAAATCATCCATGAAATGAGCTACAGTCGTTGAAAGAGGGCCAATGTAGCGAAGGAATACCCTTGGCGACAGGGTGACCCGTCGGTTCGCACTATTCGAAAGAGGGGGTCGCATTTTGGGGTTGTGCAAGATTATCACAGTAGGCGGTTTGAGGCCTGTGCCCTCTGCAAAGACGGGTTTTTCGAGTTCAAGATAGCAATCCCCCTCCCCCTCTCCCCCCCCCCTCGACGGCGTTCTGGGAAGAAATGGGCGGAGTTGGGCTGTGTCCGACTGGTCCCGAATCAAACACTATAGAAACAGCCATGCTGGCGAGGGCGGTGGTCGGAGATGGAGAAGGCGGGCAGTATTGTATTGGGAGACTTCCCTAAGGCTGATGGTGGTGGTGGGGGTCGCAAAGTTTTTGAAAGGCGAACGTGACGGTTGACCATGCTTGGCGGTACTCGGGCAAAAATCCTCAACGGAGCCATTTTTGAATTACTGAACTAATGAAGTTATTTCAACAACCATTGAATAGAGCAAATCTTCTAGTTTACAATGCTATATTATTTTCCAGATTTGACGAAAATGAAGCAAGTTATGGCTTCGGAAAGTGTAAAAACTCGCACTCATCATGAATTTTCCTCGTTAATCAATCTAAATTTGTTATTTCTTATAATTTTTGTAATTTCAATACTGGTTAGAAAGAGCTCTTCACAAAACTCCCAAATCTGCTTTCAGATTGAAAATTCGTCTACTTTGAAGGTTATATTCATGAATATGTGATCAAATTTCAAATCTAGATTGAGAAGTATACTTTGTATAGTACCAAGACTTGGTAAGCCTGGGGT